CAGGGATGCAAAGAAGGATAGGCATTGTGTTTTGAAGAAATGATGGACTGAATTTGATGATGGCTTAGATGTAGGAGGTACATTTAGCAAATATTTATTAATGACCTACTGTGTGTCAGTTAAAATTGGGAGCAAATGAGACAGGGTCCCTGCCTTCATGGAATTTACTGTTTACCACAGGGAACATATATTTGTCAATAATGCCTCAAACGTGGGACTGGAAATTATGGTAAATGCCATGAAACGAAAGTTCAGGGAGCTTTGACTGCTCACAACTTCGGGGATTTGATTGGTGAGGGAACGTCATGAAGTTGTTCCACTAGCACTTAATTACCCCCACATTTCTAGGGAGTGCATATTTGTTGATTCTTTTAACTTCGCAAAAAATATTTCCTTTAGAAACCAAGGCTCTAAAAAAATTTTTAAATGCTTGGCTAATCAGGGGAATAGTGCTTTTGGATGGCTGGTACCACGATTTGTGGTTGGAAAACCAAGAGTATTTGGTTACATTGAGCTTCAAACTTTTCCTTTGATTAATGAAAATCTTCCTGGCAAATACTTTTTAATGGGCTCTGTTTTTACTTGGTCCAAGAGAGTCCACTCTCTGACCTCAATATGAATGCCTTGTGACATCTCTCTTAATCATACTGAATATGTAATATCAGTGGGGCATCCATTTGGAAATATTTAGTTGTCAAACTGGTGTAATGAAAATGGAACTAAATCTAATCAGTTGAGTTTCTAGTTTCCATAGGTGCAGTGGTGGTGTCTTTTGTTATTTGATGCTCTCCAGCTTCTGCCATTCTTTTTCCTGCCATTACTTTACTCCATTCCTTAGTCACTTGTGTGCCTCAGAGTTGCAATGTGTTCAGTCACTGATGCAGAACATCCCTCCATGTCTCATTCAAGCTTCTGCCCTACTTCTTTTCAGAGAATCTTTTAAAGTATCTGTAGGGCTAAAGAACATCTAATCTCTTAATACGTAGCCTAATAGGCTAGTCAACTTCTTATCTATGTCTTATGAGGAAGTGTCCAGGATGAGAAACTCACTAAATTTGGTGACAATTTAGTGAGAATAGGAGACAAGTTTTACAAAAAGGGAGACGTTTTAGCAATTTGGCAAAAGAGTTAAATCTTCACATAGGATAAAGGGGGAGGGCATTTTTATCCAAATGGATAAAAAGGCTTTTATCCAAAGCCTCTTATTAGGAAGGCAGAACCTGAAGACATTTAGAACATGAAAAGTGGTTAATGAGAGTAGTTAACGTTGGTCCTGTGGAAATAAGGAGAAGCCAAAGGGCCTCTGAGGCAGAGGGAGAGGAAGAAAGATTGCCCTAAATGTAATGTAAGCACTTCCTACTAGAGAGGTGTGAGGCTAAAGGTTCCGGGTCTATGACAGCTGCAGTCGGGCAAGGCCAGGCAGAGAGGACAGCTGGAAGAGGTGAGTCCGGGACCTGTAAGTAGGCTTATCCCTGGGGACTGGTCTAAACTTGGGTTGGTGCCTGAGCCACCCTTGTGTGTTGGTCTGAGTCCAGACATGGGCACCTCCCTCTCTGATCCTTTCCACTGCAGATAACGGAGCCAAGTGAGCCTGCATCCTGAGGATGTGGATCTCTATCTGGATGCAGCTGTGCCAAGTGAGCTTGGCTTGACTCTCAAGACAGCCTTGAGCGTCGCATTTCAAGGTGCCGCAGGGCTTTGCAACCCATGAGATGATCTCACTTGCCTTTTCGCTTGATCTGTATTATATTCGTTTTTATGCAACCCTGGTCTGGGAGTCTTCATCGAGCAGGGCTGAGCCAAAATGATTACTGACAGTGTTATATATGTGAACTTCCCATCTGGATAAAAACGTTGCTTTATGGAGAGGAAACATGGCCTGTGTAATTTCCCCTCTCTTCTCGGAAGCTTTCTGATTTTATGCCCTATGTCTACAGTAGACTTTCAGTATTCCAGCGCCATCTCAAAGGTAAAGTGTGGATGAAAGGCATTTTGCCGACGGCATGCAACGCTGCTAGATCTGGGGAAAATGGGCTTTTGCTCTTACATCTTTTACCCATATTCTTAAAATCAGTATTTGCATATCCTATTTATATTGTTTTGAAAATTGTTATATTATTGACTCAGTCATTGATTAATTCGTTTGATATCAATATTTATTGAGTTCCCATTCTGGAAGAGGCTCTGTGCTATAAACGCTCAGCGTTCCAAAGATAAGACACAAGGAACTTAGTGGACAGCAGTGAAGACGAGAATGTACAATTGAAGGAGGGATAATGTAGTAAGTAGCAGAAGAGAAGTAAAGAAAAACCTGCTATCGAGTTCAGAACAGGGATACGTTATTTCCAGCATGTGGGGATTAAGAGTGGCTGATAAGAGAGGAATTCATGCATGGATGATGCTAAGTGAAATAAACAAAAAAAAGACAAAAACTATATGATTCTACTTATATGAAGTATCCAGAGTACCAATGCATGGAGACAGAAAGTAGAATGGTGTTTGCCAGGGGCTGGGGGGAAGAAGAAATGAGGAGTTGTTGTTTAATGGGTAAAGAGTTTCAGCTTTGTGAGATGGAAAATTTCTGGAGATTGGTTGTACAACAGTGTGAATATACTTATCACTGAACTGTACACTTAAAAACAGTTAAGGTAACAGATTTTATATTATGTTTGCCTTGCCACAATTTTAAAAAAATACGGTATTTTATTATGCAGGGTTGGGTGGAGGATACTTGACACCTTGGAACTTTTGCCCATGCACATACTATTCACTCACTCATTCATTCATTCATTCAACAAACATGTATTGGACGCTTGCTATGTGTTAGGTGCTGAGCTGCTTCCCGAGGGTCAATATTAATGTTTATAAGACATCGAATCTGTCAATGTCATGCTTGCTCACCACCCCTTCCCTCCCCAGGTGCTAAGCTTCTGTAGTGAAATCTTCATAGCTGCTACCTGCTGACTTGAATCGCGCATGAGACGTTAGTAAACAAACAGTAGAAAGATTTGAGGTTATTGGGGGGGCGTTGACGGCATCGTGACGAAATGGAAGGAGATGGGTAACAGAATATGAACTAGAATTGAATACTGTGAGGCAGCTCTCTCTAAGGATATTAAAAAAATAAAGATCTCCTGTTTACGGCTGCCAACCTAAGAGCTAAGTCATTTAGAATGGAACAAACTGGCAAAGTCAGACGCACTCAACCCAAGGAGCTCCTTATTTTGTGAATATTACGGCAAATGTAGTTTGAGAGCCACTGCTGCAAAATTGTGGGTGACGTTAATGAGTGAGAAGGGCAGGGAAGGGTTGTACAATTTGAGCTAAAAGGAAAGGCAGGCTTGTGAAGGGGAGGAGTGGTGACAGTCAGGGTGGTCTGGTTTTTTGGGCGGGGAGTGGAAAGCAAGAAGCATGAGCTTCCTTAACCGAGAGACCCTGGCAGCTCTATCTTCAATTCACTTTTTCTCATCTTATTTTGTTTTTGTTTTTAAATGTCATAGGCTTCATTCCATCTTTCCTTCCAATATTTTTCTACTTCTTTTTTTCCACCCTTATATACCCTGGAACACTCCATTCATTTCAATGTATTATTGAGTGCCAGCTACATTCCAGGCACTGTGCTGGGCTCTGGCTATATACTCCCCAATTCTCTCATACCACCTTTATTCTGTTGCACATGCCTAGCAAACCCTGGGTCAATGTCATTTCTGCTCCTATATGTGGTTAGATGAGACATGCAAACTTAGTCTCATCTACTCCTTTCCTTACCTCTTTGCTCCCTGTCTTCTTCAAGGTGTCTTCAGTGAAGCTGTTCCTTCTACCTGTGTATTTAATCCCAACTGCTTTACTTTCCTTCTTGACTTTGTTCTGTTTTCCCTTCTCTGTACCTTCCACCATTCCCTCCCTACTGGCCCATTCCCTTCAGTCTCCATGAGGCCTTCTCAGGCCCCTTCCGTTCAAAACACACCTTTTTGTCTTTATATTCTTTAGTGACAACCCTACCTCTTTCTCTTCCCATTCACGTCCAAGCTCTCAGAGGAATGGCCTTCACCCATTGTCATTTCCTTATGTTTCTGCACCCACTGGATTGGCTTGTACCCTCTACTGAAACTCCTTGCTAAGTGTCCTCCTTGTCAAATCCAACTTCATTTTATCAGTCCTGGTTTTATTGGACTTTTCTGCTCCTTTGACACGATTGGTCACACTCTCCTTCTTAAAGCTTTCTACTTCTTTAAACTTTTTTGCTTCCCCGTTTCCTTGGTTCTCCTAGAACTTTCTGACTGTGCCTTCTCAGTTTCTTTTCTGAGATACGCTTCCTCCCTGAAAATTTTCAGGGTTGGTGTAATCATTTGTGTTCCTCTGTTCTTCTCATTCTACATGTTCTTGAAGAGGAATATTGAGTATTGACTACTATCCTCAAATTACAGTCTCAAGTCATAACAACTGATACCCGGGGTTACCTTGTAACAATGATGTAAAAATTTGAATTATCTTTCTATACATGTTCTATGTTGTTCATCAGTTCATCTGACTTTCAAATGTTCCAGCTGTTTTATGCTTTGTCTCCATTTTCTAAAGGCCCTTAGTGTGGTCTAGAATTGGAATGAGCATTGGTCTCTAATGGTTCTGGGTTAATTGAGAATCCCTAAAAAAATGATTAAGTCTATGAGAAACCAGCTAATTTCATTTTGTCATTTTCTGGATAATATATTCTGGTGTAGGAAGTCCATTTTTTAAGAAAGTTTGCAATAAACAATTTCCCCTCAAGGTTAATGTAATAGGCAAACCCCTTTTGCTGCAACAGACGGCAAGAGGTAATGAAGATTAGCTTACATTATGATTCATTATTTCAAAATGTCAGAATAAAGTGGATCTGCTACATCTTCCAAGCCTCTTATTCTTTAGAGGAGAGTGCATGTTTTGCTTTTCTAATGTTAATGGATTCACTGTTTTTTTTTTGTTTTGTTTTTTTGTTTTTTTTCTCCTATTTTTTTCCCCAGGCCAAATTCAGATAATCGGCGCCAGGGTGGCAGAGAGAGATTGGCCAGCACCAGTGACAAGGGAAGCATGGCCATGGAATCTGCCAAGGAGACTCGCTACTGTGCAGTGTGCAATGACTATGCCTCAGGCTACCATTATGGAGTTTGGTCTTGCGAGGGCTGTAAGGCCTTCTTCAAGAGAAGTATTCAAGGTAATAGTGTGTTGCAAACAACTTATCCCATTTTTTAATCCTAAGAGGGGAAGCAACAGAGGAAGGCATGTGATCAGCCATTTGTACAAAACACTAATACCTAGTAGGTCCACTAGTATCTATGGTAGAAACATGGAGAAGAGACGAGATCCCAGGAGAAGGAATTGGCAAATGTCAGGGTAGTTGTGGCTGAGTCATTGTGCTTCCTCCATTTGGCAAGATCCCAACAGTCTTGAGCAACTCTAGAGGAAGAGGATTTCAATAGCTGTGTCTCTGAGATGTTGTCCATGCCATGATTGGGGGATGGCAGGTGGATATTTGTGTGTTGTAGGCAACTAGGCTGTTGTGATGTAGTGTGATATTAATTATTATCCACATATAATTATTTCTCCAGCTTAGCTTTGCACAGATAAGCATTCTGATCTTTGCTCCAGACCAATTCTAATTTAACTCTTTCTTCTCTCGCTCTTCTTCCATCTCTTTGTTGTCTCAATGGATGACATGACCTTTTGCTAAACTGAGAAGATTCAATGGCTGGTGACTTGTAATAAGGGATGTATGATCTGTATCAAGCAGTTATTAAGTATACACCCGTAAGACTTCACTCATGTCATTTGCAATGTCTGCTTCAATCCTTTTCTTTTATACAGTTTTCCAAGTGCAGTTTCTCTGATAGACTGCCAGCTACATTTCATTTCTACTCCAGGAGTGTCTATATTGTTGCTATACTGTCTATATAGGATATACTGGGAGAAACAATCGTTTTTACTACCTAAAATATCTATGCTAAAGATCCTTTGACAAAAACAGAGACCTGACAGCAGTTCAAACTAGCTGGATTAACCTTTTGTTTTAATACTGGACCATTTTTCTCTGTTCTTATCCCTTTATCTTTTCAGCTTAAACAAAGTTTAGTATATAAATACTAAGAATATTTCTGATGGAGTTTTTGTGTGATTCCCTCTATGGAAATTGAGGCTGAAGTAACTTGTTGAAAACCAGAGTCTACTAAATTAATAGGTACTGATTGCAGACACTTTTGAATAGAGAATGAATCACTATGCTCGTGGACTTTTTGCTGTAGCTCTTCACTGCCCTGATGTGGGGTGAAAGCTGGGGGATGATACACACTATTCATTTTTCCTTTCATTGCCAGTGGATGAATTTTTTTAAAGGCTATTCATATCTTAATAGAGTAGCATGTGAGGTCAACTTGGTCCATTTTAAAAGCACTTTTTTTTGACAACTATTACTTTCACCATCTTTTAGAAATCTATTGTAAGACTGGGACTTTTTTATTAGAATTTTAATAAAATTTATATTATATGATAGTGGATTTTTGTATATAGATACATACCAACACAGATTATTTAATTTTACTAGCAGATATTAATACTATCTTAATTTAGAAAAGTGATATTTGTATTTTGGCTTAAGTTAGTATAAGCCCTTAAAGGTCTTTTGACAGCCATCTTCATTTGTGATTCTTCTTTTCATTTAGTTTTATATAATCTAAGATACCATTATTTTTATCAAGCATTTAATCTGGTATGGAAAAATCATCTGACAGAGGTAGATTTAGTGGGTAGGTTCAGCCACAAACTTGGACAAGTCATTTATCTGAGACTGAGTTCCCTCATCTGTAAAAATGATTTAGAGCAGCGGTCAGCAGTTTTTCTGCAAAGGACCAGAGAGTAACTAGCTAGGCTTTGCAGGCCATGCAGTCTCTGTGACAGCTACTCACTCTGGCATTGTGGCCTGCAAGGAGCCATAGGTACTGTGTAAATAAATGGGTGTGTGCCAATAAAACTTTATATACACAAACAGGTAACTGACCAGGCCTGTGGGCCGTAATTTGCTGACTCCCGATTTAATGTACAAGAGAATTTAATGTACAAGAGAATCGATGGTTTCCAAATCTAACGTTTTGTCTTTCATGTTTATTGAGAACTTACTCTGTACCTGTGCTAGATAGTCTGAGGGAAATAAAAATATGTGTAAGAAGTAATCCATAATCCCACAAAATTTAGAATTTGTTTGGGAAATTTATTTGGGGAGGCAAAGGTACACGTTCTCATGATAGGATTAGAGAGTAAGTTAGTATAAAGTGCTGTGCTATGATACAGATAGGGAAGACAATAGATGAATATAAGAAAAGAAGATATTGTCAGTTATAAATGTAAAAAGACTGAGATTGAAGGTAGAAACTATCTTCGTCCAAGGAACAATGACAATATTTTCACAAATTATTTTCTTCACGTGTGTTCAGCATTTAGGAGTGTGCTATGTAACGCCACATTGAGCTTAGTATTGTCTCTAGGCGTTAAGGCATCGGAACAGAAAACACAGGAAAAAAATACTTATAAAAATTAAATGAAGTAAATGTAAGTGTATAAAAAGAAATATTTTGTTGGTATGGCTTTATCTCAAGTTCAAATATTCAAAAAAATGTTTGCTTACTCTTTGATAGTTAAAGTATGTATCTGATATCTAACTTGTTCGTACAGACTAAAGAGTAGGATTTCATTGTACTATCTAAAGTTGTACATATAAGCTGCTTACAAATGCCATTTCTACGTGGCTTCAGAAACTTCTTACTTATCATGGTATGAAGGCATTTACAGAAGGTTTCTTAAATGAGATGACTATTGAGTCCAAAGTTCTGCAGGAAGCCTGGAAACAAGACAGAGTTATTAACTTTTAAAGATAGAGAGGAACCTTAAAAATTATAAAGTTCACTAATTTATTAATTTGTTCATTGAATGCCTCTACTAAGCAAAGCACTGTGTGAGGTCCTGGAGATACAATTACAGTAAAGACATAGTCCTTACCCCCATAGAGCTTAAAGGTAGTAGGAGAGGTGGACAAATAAACCAGCAATTAAATTACAGTGTGATAAGTACCAAGATGAGGGTGAGTGCAGATTTTACAGGAGTCCAGACTTCACTTATTCCTGGTGGGGCTTGAGTCAGGCTCTCAGAGAAAGTTTCCTGATTTAAAATTGTCTGGAGAATTTTGCAAGTGAGCAAAATGAAAAAGGGCAGGTTGAGTGTTCAGTCATATGAAAATGGGACTGAGTATGTGGGTAAAGCCCAGGAGGTAAGGCAGAGTTTGGGGAGTTCTGTGAATAAAAATGAACAAAATTAATACACCATCTAAGACATTCCTGGGCCATATATTTCTTCTTGGACCGTGTAAAAACAAGGTAATTTATTTCCTTTTGACTTTAATGGCGTTTCCATCTATTTGACTTGTTTGCATATATGAAAGGAAAACAGCAGAGCAATAGAGTCTTTCTCATCATCGTCTTGATAGCTTGGAACTAAAAAGTTTTACTGAACTTCTGTGACTCTTTGTAAATCACGCTGCCCCTCAAGCCTATTTAAGGACAGTGAAGGGTCTGACGTGCTGCAGGTAGAAAGCTCTGAAGATGCTGTAGCTCTTCCTGTTTTTCTTGTTGCTTAAGAAGAGAGCTAGAAATGAGTATCCATCAGATTACTCTAGTGCTCTAAGTGTTTAGTTGAAGAGGTAAAGTGTTTGACTTGAAAGCATACAGATTTTCATCCCCTGCCTAGTGTATGAACTTGATTACCCAAGAAATTGAATAATGGCCTCCAGTTGAACATACTTTCTTTTTTTAAAGTGAAGTCAAGGACACGATTTAAAGGAGACGGGTGAAATTGGATATTCTGTGAATTTATTAATCACTGCAGGCAGAGGAGCAGTGTTCCTTAAGATGTGTTGTAGGCAGAGACTCTTGGATGAGTTACATAAGGAGATTTGGTTATAGGTTCAGCAGCCAAGTACTACCTTTGAACATTATTCCAAGGAAAAGGACTCCATGGAGCTCGCAGCTTGGTCATTATATTACAAATAAATATTATAAAGATCATATTACGGTCTTATACTATAAATGGTCATGAGGCACAGTGGAGGCTCAAACCTATCTGTACACCCCTAGCGGCACTGCCACTTTATATTTTCTTTCTAAGGCATCTGTGGAAGATATTTAACACTGTGCTTAACGGATATGGCCCAGGCCCATGTTGACTTAAAGGTTAGCTAAGGCCAGAAGGACATGGTATTAGGGTGGAGTCTGCTTATGGTTCAGCACAGTGGGGGTCTTAGGTCCGACAAGGATAACTGATGTCCTTACCCACCAGGCCCTAGAAAGCTTCAGGGTGAGAGTCCAGCACCCTGGATAGCTCCTTCAGCAACTGCCAGGGGTAAGCAGAGACTGACTTTCTAAAGAACCTCAGGCCCGTTCAGCTGGTCTGTGAAAAGAGAACTTAGTTCTTTTGTGCTTAGGAATTCACTCTTGTTTGCCCAAGATGGGTTAGTTTTTATGCTAAGTTTCCCATTTCCAGTCGCCTTCTGTCTTGACCTATGCGCCCCTGTCTAGAAAAGGCCAGAGGATGGGGTAGAAGTGGAGGCTGCCGCTCTCTCATTACAGAACTGTCTTATCTCTAGAGTCATTTCAGAGATACATCTCAGAGTTGATCCTGGCAGTACGTGCACCCCAAAATACTAAGTCTTTTGTCTCCACATTTCCCTACTTGCTCCTCTGCAGTCTAGTCTCCAGGTGACAGCAGGAGAGGTCTTTTAGATACATTAATCAGGTCATATGGTCTTAAACTTAAACTCTCACTGCACTTAAAGTCCAGATTCCTTTCTATGTCTTAAAATACTCTGCATGGTCGTATTGCTGCTTCCTTCTCTCCCCATCACTGTAATCCAGCCACGATGGCCATCTTTCTCTTCTCCCAACACACGACACACATTCCTTTCTCAGGACCTTAGTATATATGGTTCCCTTTTTACCTCCCGATTACCCCACCAAAAATACCCCTACAAACCTTTGCCTCTAGTTTTTTTTTTTTTTAAATACCTTTCTTATTTTCCTTTAAGGCCCTTAAACCCTTAATGAACTTTCAAATTTATTCATTTGGTTGATTATTATCTGTCTGCAACAGGTGCCACCTTCAAATATTCCTGCCCAA